GAAATGTGTTTTTTGTTAAATGTGTTCTAATAATAACAAATTTATTTGAATCAAAAGTTATAAACGACACGAATCTCATCCTTGTAAAGTCCAAGATTTCATAGTTAATGATTTGGTCAACCTTCAAGTTTTAAAACTTTGTCAAAAGTGAAGCGAGTTTTACTTTAATATCATTTTGGTTTGTCCTCAATATAGATTTTAAACATAGTTTGACAATTGAATATACAATTGTTATGAAATATTTGTCTTTAAGTCGGATATTTTAAAAAATTTAGATTGGGTTAATATCCTTGAGATTAATTTGATGTTTAATTCATTTAATTTGAGCAAACAACTTTGTGCAATAAATGACTATCTAATCTACACTTGCATTTAATTAGGTAAGCTTAAAAATGCTTAAAATATCTTCGGCTACTTATATATTTATAATTTGCCGGTGGCAACCAAAGGGGAATCCTTTAATTGGCAACTGTTCACTTGAGTGATTTGGATTTCCTTAGAATTCAGTTAATTACAACCCGATTTGCTGGCAACTGCATTGGTCAATGACCAACCTCCGCCGCTGACCCAATTAGAAGAAGCAGCTCAATGGGCAAAGGCAAAGAAGGAGCAGCAGCAACAGCTGAAGCCAGCTAAAAGCGGCATTCATTTCGAATTCTGTTTATGGAGTTTATAGTTAAGTAGTTTCTCGTTTTTTGGTATGAAACTTCTAATACCCTTTTGTAGAGTCTATGATCATTTCATCATGCCATTTGTGACAAAAAACCTATTTATGCTTGTTTAACATCAACAAACGAGTCAACGGAACAATCAAATAAATAATTGAAAAATAATACTTGAACATATTCTCCAAATTGAACTATACATTCCCACTTTACTAATATGTCGCAGTTAGTTTTTTAGTAGCACATAGATATTTTACTTCGGATATGAAAATTGATTAACAAAAAGTGTATTCCTTAATGTATCGGAAGGTATTCGATCTCGTTTCATTGTTTTTTTGTTTTGTTAAAGGATAAGAAAGCCTGCCAGGTATTTTTGCAGCTATTGGGTATAAGTCGTTTGGGGGACAAGTCGTTTGTTTTGTATGCATATCGGGTCTCCTTGAGCTTATTTGGAAGCATCTTAGACATTGTTGAATGTCCGAAAGATCGATGCTTTTAGAAAACTCAAGCAATGTAAATAACATTGAAATATCAAAAAAGAAAAAGGAAGAAAATAACAAACCAAGTTAAAGTTAGAAGCAACGAAGTTTTGACCTTTTTCCTTCCTAACATTCTGTCAAATTTTAAGACCTAACATGTGGTAAAATTTAAAATCGGAGCTCTGAATCATATAACTCATATAGCTCATAAAGAAACAATTGTTCCGAAATAAAGTTTCTGGCTAACAAGAAAATAACTTCGAACAATTGCCCTTGCAAGGGTATTTAGGCGCCCGTCGGGTAGATAGGAACATGGCTCTTCTTGCTGTTTTTGCCATTTTCTTACAACGAAGCGGCATTAGATTAAAGTGTATAAAGCTGAAGACATGCCATTTGGCTTGTCACTTACAATAGCAGCCAGGAGGAGCGCAGAGCAGACAACTCAAAAGTAGTTCCCAGAAATTGAAAGGCGCAAAACTTGCCGAGCGACAACTTTTATCATATATACGAGCACTATATATAAATATATATATATACCTATTTTTTTTTGGCACGCTCGAAATTAGCTTTTAAACAGGCAATCTCAACAATACGTAAAACTAAATTTGTCAGAGGCGGGCTGCAGGGGGCTGCATTCATGCATTTTTCCTGCAACACTTTTACAGTGAGAGGGACGGACGGGGGAGGATCTAGCAAAAATAACTTAACAAAGCTGTAAATATGATGAACTGTTGCCGGGCCCGGACTTCATCATTGTGTGCCATAGTTGCGAGTCTGAAGGCGACAAACTTGGCCAAGTTTACGACTGCCCAGCGGCGGGCAACTCTCTCTCTCTCTCTCTCTCTTTCTCGCAGCAGCTGAAAAGCTGAAGATGTAGGCTCCAGCTGTAACTGTATAACAGCAGCGACACGCCCACCTCTTCTCCCGGTTTCTTATGCCCTTTAAGAGGGTATTATAGTTATGTCATGCAATGTGTAGGAGACTTTTTCGTACCCAAAGAGTGTATATTTATTAGATAATATGTTGTATATGTTTGTTTGTCTGTTGCGGGCAGAAAATATATCAAAATAGGCTGAGGTGCAATAGGAATGCTCCGTCAAAAGTTTAATTCTGGTTTGAAAAAATCTTCCAGTTCCTCATCATATTCTTATTTTCCGACCAAACTTGTCATTTATTAGTTTAACTGTGCTCCTTATTTATGTGCAAAGTCATATCAATATCGGACAACTATAGCATATATCTCTATTTTCATTTCATAAGACATACGAGGAAATACAATGGATTAGTTTTTTAAAATGCGTCCTTAATACGACCCCCCATAAAGTAAGGGAGTTAATTTCCAGAAATTCCGAACGCTTATCCTAGATTAGCAAACGTAGGTTAATGTTTCATCGTTTTGACAGCAACAAAGTTTTTCCTCGACAGTTATTGAACATTTCTTCCCATGACAAGGAGGGTCGCGTGTTGGCAACTCGCGCAACCTTAAGCGGTCCGTAGCTAAAACCATTTGAGAATTTCAAGCGCAAAAGGCTCGCAATTCTATGCAACATATCTACCAGAGCATTTCATCTTCGTCGTGCCTTAGATAGCTGTTCTTTTGTGTATTTTTTTTTTATTGCCGCCAGGCACTTGGCCTCCATAGAGTAGAGGAAACCCAACTAGTTGCCCGGTCTCCAATCGCAACAGCGCCAGCAGTTGCTTTAGTTTAGTTTGATTCAGTTAGTAGTTTGAGAGAGTTAAGTAGTTTTCTAAAGTTTTATGAATTATTAAGAGGATTTTCGAGTTTTCCGCTAGCCTTTCAGTTACCCAAACCGTCCTGTCCCGCCCCGCCCCGCCCCGTCACGCCCCGCACGGTGTCGCTCAACCATCCGCTGTCCACTTTTATGCTCGTCAGCAAACGCCTGAAAAGCTGTCGAAATATGCAATTTTCAGTTTGTTTTTTAATTTTTCATGACAAATTCTGGCTCTCTGCTTGCTCAGTGTGTCCTTGTTGTTGCTGTTGCTGTCGTAAGGAGCAGCATTAGTTAAAGTGTTGACTTGTTGGTAACTGGCTGACGCCCGCAGCGTGCCAAAAGAGCTCAGAGCAGCAGCAGAGAGGAGCTCAGCGGCACGAGGCCATCAGATTTTTGGGCCAAAAATTAAATACTTTTTATTGTCAATAAAATTATAAATGCAAATTATAATTTTGTGCTGCCGTTGGCCAATTAGCCAACAGTGCCACGCCCACCCGCCCAAATGCCCAGACGCCCAACCGCCGGCTGGCAGCAACGAGATAATGCGCGCACAATTCCCCAAACAGCTCGTTGCCCAACACTGGCTCTGATTCTGACGTCAATGCCTGTATTCAAAGTTGAACATGTCGCCGCGACTGGTGTCCTTTTTTGGCTGTACGGGGAGGGGCATGGATTTTTGGCTAACTACGTGGACGCTGGCATGTTAATTCACTTTGCAAATTGTTGCGTCGCTGTGGCTTTGCTCGGAATGCTAATCATGCCTAGGTGTGTACAACAACAAATGCGACCAACAACAACAACAACAACTGGCAACAACTTTGTTGATTTGCTAAGTGAAACTTCGATTAGCCACCGCGCACACACAAACGGCGCTAACAAACTGTTGACTGGGTCCACATTTTTTATACACTGTTTACAGAGTGTACAAGGGAGTATATTGGTTTTATACTTGATACAATTGATATACTTGTGCATATCATAAAGGGGACATTAAACTGCGAGAATCTCTAACTTCCGAAGCTATAGAGCTATCGTCTCCAAAATAAACATTAAGACATTGATAAGCTTCTTTAAATATCGAGCGAAATAATTGAAATTTCCTTTAGTCACAGTTTGAAAGCCACTGAATTTGGGTTAATAGTTAGAAGCTTACAGCTTGGGGGCAAAAATCGATCACTTATTATCTTTAGTTCAAAAATACGCGGGGCTTAGAACAATGTGTTGAAATTTGTATACAAATATTTGTCTTTAATGGGGTTCGATCCCTTAACTTCGCGCTTCGTACAAAAACCAACTGCTTGCTTGAAAGTTCGTTTTGTGAAGCTGATTTTCCACATCATTTCATTTAGTTGAAAACTTAATTCTTTTTTTGTATAGTTACTAAAAAAAATGAAATGAATTTAGCTTTTAATTAACAATTGCTCGTTCTACTGAAAATATTGCAAAAATCAAATGTGATCTCTGCACAAAGTTGACAGCTACCAAATATGGTTAAATAAACTCAATTATTACGGTCTAAGCCATTTACGCCCAGGCAATTTATATTGAAAAAATACAAATAGTTCATTTCAGGTTTCAGTTTGGTTGCTTTTTTTGAATGAGTTTAAAGTTCGGTTCGTAGTAAAAAAAACTTAATTGGAATTCTGTGTTTGAGCCGGCTCGGTTGAAATCCGCTTTGCAGCCTTGGCTAGAGTATTGGGCGTTCGTTTACGCCCGACTAGAACGTCCTAACTTGTTAGCTTCAGCTTTTTGGGCCGGATTTTCTGGCGGCTCAAGCTGCGGCTTGTGGCTGTAAAACGAGCTGGGTTCTGCATAAACTTACGCCTCGTGAAATTTGTTATGCTCTATTTCGTTGCAAAGCAATTACCGACCCACATATACAGCTGCCTAAACAAAAAAATAAAAATAATACACACACAAACATTCATTGATAGGCAACCAAACGAGCGCCTATATGGGCCCAACAGTCTGCGTGTGTGTGTGTGTGTGTGTGTGTGTGTGTGTGTGTGGGTACAGCAGGCAGCTTTACAGCAATCGTTGCACACACACACACCTACACACAAGCACATAGGCAACGGAAGCGGCTGTGAAAATTAAATTGGTCCAAATATATTTAGCCTTACCTGTAGCACAGTGAAACCAATGCAATCAGGATCAGACACAGGTTAAAGCTGCAAAGTAAGAGAGAGATTAGATAATGAAATAGAGTACAAAACAGTGGAATTTAGAAAGTAAAACCTTTTCAGTTAAGTATTCAGAGTGTCCGCTTACAGGCTAGGTTTACTAATTGCTAGAATTGATGACTTGCGATCTATATATACATATATATGTATATATCTTTATGTTATATAAGAGTTTGTTCTGACTGTTAAGTGATACACTGAAATTTCTACTGAAGTAGGCTAAAATTGAACACTAAGTTGGGATTGGATAAATTCGATCTGTAAGTGGGGAAAATCTGTGGTCAAAAACAGAGCAACCGGAACTCTTCCATATAAGTTTGCTTGGCGAACGAGAGGTAGGTTCAAATCCATACATTTTGAATTTGTATATTGTTAGTTAGTTTATATCGTTTATTTGTTATTATTAACAAAGGAAAAACAATAATAAAACAAAAAGAAAAACAGAGATATTTAACAAGGAATTAACACCTATTCTTTTAACATATCTCTGTTTTTTTTTATTGGTTTATTATTGTTTTATTAATAATTAAAATGCATATTTCGTTTGTTTTGTCAACTGCAATGCTGTCAATGCGAATTCAAAGCGAATGCTTGAGGGCAAACTGCGCGGATTTGCATTGAAATTGGCTTCAATCCCACAAACAGCTGCGCTACCAATTGCATTTATTTCAATACTCGCATACGAACCGGCCAATGCTGGGTAATTTCTTCTACTAATTGAAAAAACGTTGATATTTTTTTTAAATTAATGTAATGTCTATTAAAAAATGTATACTATTATTTAACAAAAAAAAAAACAAAAGTTTAACAAGTTATGTCAAACTCATGCATTTGTAAAATAATTTATCTTGAATACTTGCACTAATTAAGTCAATCATGTAGAAATTTAATTTACTTCAAATAGAGGCAAGCGTTTATAATTGAAATAATAAATTGTTTGTGTTTTTCATCAAGCCGAGCTCACAAAAAAAAAAAGTTAAATTGTAAAAAGACTTAATTAAACTTAAAGTTCGCCAGAATTTCGAATTTGCAACGAAAAACTCAATTTTCTGACCTTTTAATGGAGGTGGTGGTTGCTAACACTGTGCGGCACGTGGCAGCAACAAAAAAGAAGGTAGAATAAAATAAAGAAATTGAGGGAAAATGGGCAAATTTTGCAGGTTTTGCATTTGTTGCATTACGAGCACTATACAAATAATCGATAGCTTTTACGCAATAGACTCCTCCCACCCCGTGACTCTACGAAAGGGAGCCATCATCGAAATACGATGACGGGAACTGGCTTTGAGCTTGGGGTTGGTTGGCTCAGTGTGTGTGGGTGTGTGTGTGTGTGTGTGAAAATTTGTGCAGACAAAATTTATAAGCGCATTACAAGAGCTCGTGTAGTTTTTGTGATTTGAGCGAGGGCGCGAGGGCTGGGTGGCCCGGCTTCGGTGGCCGGACTGTTAAATGGGGTCGCTGGGGCAACGGCATATACAAAGTGCTTACAAAGCGTTTGGGCGATTAATCAGTTTGGCAGCCAGAGCAGCAGCACCATAGTACATTGATGGTAGCTAGGGAGTAGAGCTATTATACATATACACTCAGAGAAAAGGCAACAAAATGTTGTACCCAAATAAAATGCAACCGCTTCATCAAATGCGAAAAAAAATCCTATTTCAAAATGCCCAAGATTGTCACTCCCATAGCTGTAAGGTGGACTTGAATTAAACCAGTTCCAGCATTTCACTAACAAAAAATTTAATGGTTTGCTTCAAAAAAGTATAAAGTATATATTTAAAATCTGATCTTCGAGACAGCAATAATGAGATATAAAAAAAAACAGCCAACTTCTCAATTACAAATAAATAATTACCGAAATGGACCCGAACATCACCCACCAAATCTTTGACCCTCATTTCCAACAGGCAATGATAGATTTTCAATAAAGTAGGAGACATTGCTCAAATGAATTCGAGCATATCTTTTAAATTTAGTTTGAGGTCAATCGGATGGTAAAGAAAAAAGCAAAGTCAGTCAGTCAGTCCATCAGTCAGTCAATCACCGACGATAATATTCTCGGGGCTAGCTTTAAGATCTGTAACATGTTGTACATGTAAATTCTTGAAATAAGTACCGTATACTAAATGCTAGCCGTTTTTATATTTCCTTTGCTTTGTTCATTTTAAATTCAAAATAGATTTATTAAATGAATACAAATTATTTGAAATAGAAATGTACGTGATATTTGGAGGGCATCAAATCTAACCCATTCAAAGTTGAATCCATAATACCTATATTTTTTCGCTGACTGTATGCCTTTATATATGTGTGGGTGTGTGTCTGTGTGTGTGTGAGTGTGAGTTGAGTCCTTGAGGCAGCGCCTGCAAGGAGCGCTGCAAGCACGGGCAGTTCGAGCCAAGCCAAACGTCGTTTTGGTGGCTAATTAAGGCAATTATGCACTTAAAGCTTCAAGTGGCGTGCAGCAGCAGCAGCAGCAGTAGCCGTTGCAGTTGCTGCAGCAGCAGCAGCAGCAGCAGCAGCTGTTGCAGTTGCAGCCACGCCCAAATGATGTGGCTGCCTTCAGTCAAACATCAAAGCTAGTCACGCTCGCCAGGCTCGTCTTAGGCCATCTCACTCCAACTGACGGCCGCTTCTGGGTTTTTTAATAATAAAATGGCTTCGTACAGGAAATAACTCATACGCGCCGTATGCCGCACTCGCCATACATCAGCGACAGTTGCTGTTGCCGCCGCCGTTGTTGTTGTTGTTGTTGTTGTTGTTGTTGGTGTTTGGTGTTGCCTTTGTTGTTGGCGTAAGGACGTGTTACTTACTTACGGCCTTCTTATATATTACGTTGCCTATACATATGCCCATATACATGCATATATAAGTCGCTATATAATATGTATATGCCTGTACATTATTGTGTGTGCGTGTGTGTGTGGGCGGGTGTGTGTGTGTGTGTGTGTGTGGGTGTGTGGCAGACACAAGAAACGATTTATCTCAATTTACATACTAAATGACAGGCAGAGGCAGGCTCATGCAATGCGCCTTTTGCTGTTGGGAAGAGGCTGGGCAGCTGGCGCCACAGTGGATAAATTTCACATAGTTCTTGTTGTTGTTGTTTTTCTTGCAGTGCAATCGGCCTTCAATACGCACAAAATGCAACGACATTTGTGAAATGAGGCCCAGGCATTGATATCAATTTCAGAGTAAATGAAATTCATTAAGTCCACTTATCGAGCCACAGAAGGTCTGAAAATCTGTTAATTACAATATTGGTTATATCATTATTGAAGTGCGATTTTGCCAAAGGAAATTGACATCAATTTATATATATATAACGTGTATATATGCGAATGTTTCAATTTGAATTATTTAAATTTTAATTAATATCGCTTAAGAGTTCAACATATTGAATGGCATTCAAATTAACTTAAGTTCGTGGGAAGAAAAATTGAAGCTTCGGTTGAAAATGTCGAGATGAATGTTTCTTGGCGAACAATGCGCATATTTTATGATAAAATACTACAGGAAATTGTAGAAATTTTATAATGTTGTATGCCAATACGTAAACGATAAGAAAAAACTTTGGGTATATATCTCAATAGCTAATAAAAGAGAAAATAATATATATATTTAATTTACGAAGCGTCGCAAGGGCGCATTAATCGTGGCCGTTTTAGTCGGGTTTTTGATAACCTGTTTTTCCATATATTTTTTTCAAATTTTTTCTTGTTTTTGGATATCAGTTTAACATATTCATCACATCACTGTGATTTCAATTTTATTCATCCGATCTTTACGATTATGCTGTCGCTTATTTAAGTTCAATAATCGAAAGTCGGGAAGAACAGCAAGAAAATGTCATTTCCTTATATTTACCGCTTTCTATTTATTTCTCCCCTACGTCTCAAGTAAGAACTTGATTAAGATGTGATCTAAACATTTATTTAACAAGCTTTAAGAAGTACATGAGCAGTTGTCTCTTTTTTCAAAGCGCTTTACCTAGTTGGGAATTGTAAGTTTTCGCTTTATTTTTACGTATTACTGTTATACACCACTGTTATATGCCACTATTATACATTTTACACTTAAATATTCGCACCTTAGGTAACTATCATATACTGAATTAATAACATTTTCCATTGTCTAAACATTTTCGCACACTGTTTACGCTAGCTTTTGCCACTGTGCAACACCCACGCTGAAAACGCTCGTCACTTGTCAGCTCGCTGTGGATGTAATGAAGGCGTTCGATGTAATAAATGCAAAATTTTTTTGTGACGCCAAAAAAAAAACACAACAAGAAGAAAATGAGTACAAAATTACGTCGAAGCAGCAGTCATCAGACAACAGATAGACGGACAGGCAGACAGCAGGACAGCTGATGGCGATGGGTTTCTCATATCACAAAGCTGTCCCAAAGTCGAAAAAAAAAGAAAGGAGCAGAGCAAAACCTCAGACTGAGGCAATGCTTAGCCCGGGCTTTGCACGCTTCAGTCAAGAAGTTCAAGTAATTCCCCCGAGTGGCGGCACGCACATGACTTTTAATAAATATTAAAGAGGGCCACCACAAAAATTCGTCAATCTGCCAGGGCTGACAAAAAAAAAAAAAATAAGAAACAAAAAACGAATGAAACAAATATTAAATTAGACTAATAAAATATTGAGCAATTGTTCTTGTTGTTGACGGCTTCTTAAAGCTGCCAACTTGTGGTTCGGCAATTTGACAAATGTGCCACACACACACACTCACACATGCACACACACGCACATTTATTGTTGTTGTGCCCCCGCCCTCTCCATTCACATGTTTCCCGCTGGATAATTTAATGGTCTTTTACTATGAGTTTTTGCCGGCCATCTGGGCGGCATTTTGTTGCCCCTTGGTTGCGCATGTTTCAGGCTCGCTTTTTGTAAGCTATTTTCTTTTTACAAAAGAGGCGCAAAGTTGCGTAAATTATTGTTAACGGAGGCGTGTGCATTGGATCCTGCCGAGCGTCCCACCTTTTGCGCTGTGTTTTTAATACTCTGTTTACAAAGTGAATAGGAGTATATTGTGGTGATTTGACACTTTAAATATATACTAGTATTTCTTCGCATTGGACAAGGGGTTAAAATTTGTTGGCCACGGTCAGTAGGGTGTACGTGAATCTATATCTCCCAAAGTTTAGATCAGGAGTTACCAAATTTTGGTGCTATACATCGAAAGGGCTTCCCTAAATGTCATAAAGCCCATAAGAAGAGAAGAGCCAAAACTATTCTAGCCACAGCTTTGGGCTTAGTCATCGAGTCGCCAAGCACAACAATCAACCAGATTCTTCTTTTTAGCTGTAAGCAAAGTATGGCCAAGTCGCTTACACCCGACTGAAATTTTGATACTTGTTTTTTTTTTGGCCAAGTCGATGGCAGCGCTTTTGTGTATTTGAACTTGGCAGTGCGTTAAATTGTAAAGACCCAGTAAATGCCACATGCTAACACACATACACCCGTCAACAGACACACGCATAACAACACACTCACACCCACACACACAGTCTGTTTGGCATTCGTATGGCTCGGCTAATCCCAGGAAGTTGCTCAGATTTGGCCACAGAGATTCCTTGGCGCATCGAAAAGGTTGCCGCAGCTCTAAATGCCTTGGTTAATCATTTCTAACTAAAAATACGACTCGATTAAAGATTATTCTAATGCAGCATTTTGATTAGGCACGTGTGTCTGCGCGCGTGTGTCCATGTGTGTGTGTGAGTGTGTGTGTGTGTGTGTATTGCAGGGAGCACAGGTTGCGTCTTGTGTCTATTTGCAAGGCGAAGCAAGGCAATTGCAAATACAAATACAAATACAAATGCCCGGAGAACCTTGGCTAACTATAAATATTCATGAGTAAATGTGTGTGTGTGTGCGAGAGTGTGCGTGTGTGCGTGTGGAGTGCTTAAGTTACTTGTGAGCCGCAATGAAACTCGAGCTGCCTTTGACCAGCTTCAATGTCATGTTTAAAGATTGACGCACACCAAATAAACCTATATAAATATCTGCTATCCTAATCCATATACCTATAAACACATTACGGGCTTGCAGAAAATTGGGGAGAGTTATGAAGCTCGTAAATAAAGAGTTTTCTAAAAATATATTAAACGACAAGAAGTTTTCCATACGCATTTTACAACGGATTTTTCACAAACATATGATTTAGAGTTAGATCTGGCTTATATATAAGAAGGATAATAGAACTTATACATGCATATATATCTAAAAGAGAAAAAAACGTTTTTTACACAAGAACTACTGAGCCTGGCACGCCCAAAGGGAACAACAGTTCCTTGACCTCTCTAATAATAGAAATCAGTACTCTCTTTGCTCTGAGCTGGCGACAAAATTTCTTTACCCAGATGCCCGCCTCCTTTCCCAATTTGCATAATTGACCCATCTTCCGCCAAGCAAAGCACACAATCTGAGCCAGGGGAAAGGCCTTCTCAGTGGAGTCTTATGTCATCTCTTGAAAGGTTACGAGTTTTAAAAGCTAGCGACGAATCGGAGTCTCTTGCTAGAGTACCAAATCATTTTGGACTTCTTCTGGAAATAGGGGGCCAGCGCGAATTTTTTGGAGGAGCACAGAAACCAGGGACAAAATGGAGGGAACCTGATCCGGCTCTTGCAAACTTTATTCGTTAAGCAGCAAGGCGTTACGTTTATTTATAGCATGCATTTTATGTAAAAATATTAAAAGTATTCCAATATTAATCTTTTAAGAATTAAAGACAAAGGGAGATGTGATATTTAATTCAATGAATAAATGAATGCATCAAATGTGTGCAAGGTAAATTGCGCATTGCGCGTCATTTAATCATTAAATTATTTTAATTGTTTACTTTGTTAGCATGTATTTAAAGCTTGACGAATTGACAGCTTTGTAAAACGCGTAAATTAACAAATTTGGCAATTTCATCAAGTGCAGCAAGTTGCAAACTGACGTACTGACTGATCGATGTGCCTTTTATGGCATCAACAGCTTTCAGCTCTTTGACCAAAGCAGCAGCTTTGATGGGTCAGCTTAAAGGTGTCAATCGCACAATAGCTTAAGCTTTTTCCTTTCTTGGTATTTTATTCACTTGATTTAAAAATAACACTGGCAACTAAGCCCTTGGACTTATGCCAGAAGGATTTTTATTTTATAAATATTTTCTTTTATTATGCAGCTGGTGGTGGCGCCATCTATTTGTGATGCCAGCAGAAGTGGGAGATTTGAACCAGCGACCTGTCAATACTTTAGTCTTCGAGATTTAAGCTCGAATCTCAAATGCTTGAATTTAGATTTATATATTCTATTCAGCTCGAAATCGATCCCGTAATTATGCGAGAGACAGATATTTTCAACAAGTTTCTAATGCAATCAAATCAAAGTTTGCGAAAATGCACTTGAAATGATAATAAAGCAATTAAGATATATGAAATTAAAATCGAATTGTTTTCTGACTCGCAGGCTCGGAGGAAACTAAAACGCACTAAAATAGGGCCGAGGAGGATGCGGCAAACCTTTCGGCTCGATTGGCTGGGCGGCTGGGCTGACGGTGACGTTAATGACCGTCAATAAAAGCCGTGCTTAAGTGGCAGTAACGGGGCATGCCTTTGGGGCCCGAACAATGGCAAAACACGGCCAAGCAATTAATGTCAAAGTCAATATGCCTTATCGTGCCGTTAAATGTAAAGGGTATTATAATAAAATAAATAACGCAAAAATCAGCAGCGCTAAAATTAAATCGAACATCAACAATCTGTGGAAAACAACAAGCGAGCCAAACAACTTAACAGCGCTGGCAATCAGCCTGGCAACCACGCAGAGGATAGCTTGAAGGCCACATGGCCGGATGGTAGGATAGCCGGACCGGGAAGGGCCGCGCCGGACTGGGACGTGGTCGACACCGGAGTTGAAGTCGGCATCATCGTCGTCGTCGTTGTCGGCGTCGGGGCCAAAGGAATCAAGCGAAATCAACGAGGCATCCAGCAACTTGGTTATCCATTCCATTGCCATCACCAGCGTCTACGCGGAACGCCACAAGCATTTTCTATACCCTAGCAGTGGGTATTATTGATTGGCATGACATGTGTTACACACGGAAGGTATATATACTCTAGATCAGTAGCTGCAGACAAGTTGAAATAGCTTTCTGTCCATTTATATGCCAGCCAAACCTATCTTGATGAGACTTGACAGAGATTTGTCTTCTTGCTTTAGGCAATACAAATGTCGCTGACATAGAAACGAATTACATTAAAGCTAAATCTTATCAACAACGACGCATCGAAATATCTGAACAATAATCAAAATTTACGTGCTTCAAAATGTTCCTCATGAATACAGCAAAATATTGTCACAAATGGAATCTTTTGTACCCAATTGAAAGAAAATGAAGTATTTTTACGAAAGACTTTTATGTTCAAGATATCTATTACAAATCATACTGATGCTGGCAACATCGGATTACTATATCAGAAAGCCTCCAAGCGAACAATCTGTCAGAATTTGAGTTTAAAACTGAAAAACAAAACATGACAGCTTAACTAAACTTAAAAGTTGCCCATTTAAAAATGATCCTTGTATATTAACAAATTCTAGGGAAAATAGAAAACAAACAGACTTTTTACGTATAAACAACATTCCTTTTTTTAATAAAACTAAAGAAAGCTCAGATTCAAAATTAAATTAACATCGAAAGCTCGTATCAGAAATATTGGATTTCTTTTTCTTGTTTTTACATACAACATTTTTACAAACAACTTCTTCGAGGGTATTCAAACTTCGGCAATCCGTAAATAATTTTTCCTTTACGTTTCTGTATTTTGTTATTTATTTTGTATATATTTTTCTTCTTTCTCTTTTTTCGAAGTGCAGCTCGTTAGGCACGAACGAGCAGACAGACGAGTAGACAGCGTGGCAAGGACATAAACAGCAATGGCAGCCTCATCGAAAGGGGGAGGCGTGTTGGCCCCTGAGCCGGTGGCACCTTCAACAAGCGAGCTGGCCAGGAGGCGTGTTGCTGGTGTCGACACTCCGCGCGCGTTTTGCTGGCTCTGGCACGGATGCTCACAACTTAAACGTCAATGTTGAGCGCTGCATTTGCCAGTCAAAGCCATTGCCCATTCGTGGCGTCTGTCCAGCGAGGAGCCAATCTGCTTGCCACTTTATCTGTCGCCTCCGTCGTCGCTGCTGCTGCCATTGCCTGTCGACCCCAATTTACAATGCTTTTTGTCTGGGTTCAGCTTGAGATGCCCGCCGCCAGCTAGCAATATTTTGGACTGTGCGGCGAGAATCGCTGACAGCCAGGTCCTGCAGGGGACAGGCCACCACATTGGCAGCTGTTAACAGGTAATCCCCTTACCCAGCTGTCGCGGTGCCACGCCCCGCCATTATTCAAGGCAGCTCACGTAAATTTTTTAAGTTTCGTCATTAAGATTATGGGGGACTAACGAATATTTTCGCCAGAGCATGCACAGAATTTTTCATAAACTCGTTTAACGAACGAATGGGCAAAGAGCTATACGCCAGCGAGAGCGCGTACAATGGGGGAAAGTGCACCGAATACCGCTTAAAAAATAAAACTCTCAACAGTTTAGCCGGGACACTAAGAACATAAGCAGCTTAGAAAGTGAAAGAGCTTAAAATTGATTTTTTTTTCTCCATACTTTGTGCAGTGAATGCTATTGAAAATGTATTCATTTAAAAACTTAGGTTATCGATAGTATCGATAACTGTACTAGGCTGTTGCTTTCTATACGTAAGTTATCGAAAAAAATAAATATCGTTGCATATTGTGAAAAGTCGTGACTATAGTAAAGTCACAAAAGCTACTCTGCTTGACATTATTATATTGATCGATAAATCGATTTATTTATGTTATTAAGCATTAACCTAACTCTTGCAGATGAGTAATTTGATTGATGAAAAATACTAGCTACAAATAAGTTTATTCTTTTTATCAATCACGAAATTTAAATAATCGTCGCTGTCGAAAATTGCATTAAGGATACTCTTAAGTCTTTTTATCTTTCGCTCTAATAAGCTTTAGTCCATTAATTAGATACCAAATTTATTGAGTACTCTAATAAGTTTTTGTCCATTAATTATATAACATATTTCTTGAGTTATCGGGACTTTAGAAAGTTGCATGTAGAATAATCGAATACCTTTAACGCTACCATAATTATCGAAAGATGAAAATAGCCATTGATTAACCGACAAGAGAAGAGCGAAAGCTATTCTAAATATACTCTGGCACCTAGCTATGTCTACGGCTTAGTTGCATATAGGATTTTCCCATACATTTGTACCAATTAGCATAGAAATTGTATGATGTAACTAAATATTATTTAACTTATATGGTCGAAACTATGGAAGTCTGTAGTAACTTTCTTTACCTTTGTTTCGTAACTGCATAAATTGTTTTCTTGCTACTATCAAATGATTATATTGTGCTGGCTGGCCTAAAAAAGTTTCAGTTATCGAGACAATCGAAAGTTGCACTAAGGGTATTGTTACACTTTTAGGAAATGTTAATAAATAAATTTTAAATTAACTTTATTGATGAAGGCAAACACCATTCACTCTCTCGTTCTCGTCTATTTCCCTTGCCTTCAGAGACGCACGTCCATGCCACTTAGGGGCTGAATTGAAAAGCTACGAATTTTCTTTGGATTTTTCTACTTCCCCCCTCCCTCCTCCACACGCTCGAGGGGGCTGCACAATACAGTGTTCGAGCGAGCGAGCGAGCGACGTCAACACGTGCCGCAAACCTTTTACCAAACCCAAAATGAGAATCCACACCCAACTCAACTTGAGCAAGCGATGCTGTTGCTACTTTCTGTTTCTTTTGCGTTTTCTTTTCTTTTTCTTTCGTTTGGTTTTCTTTCCATACCCTGTATCTATTGAATATTTGTGAAAATATGATAGATTGGATTAAAAGAAGTTCGCGATCAAGGTGACGAGCTGCTTGGATTTGGCCATATCCGTCTGCCCGTCTGTCTGTCCGTCTATGTGTAAATTTTTAAATTTCGATAAAGATCGATTTTGAGACATGGTTTTTTAAGCATAAGTCGAAGATTATAAGACTCCGATTCACCAAACTTTGCATGTAGATCAATCTATAGCTTACACTTATCCAGCATATTTCGTTTGTTTTTTTGATACCTCACACCAGCCCTTACTTTAAAGGATAACATAAGTAAAGGGAAAATTTGGAAACACCAAAGTCATTAATACACTTTGCTGATGAATTTTTCAAATGTCGAAGAGCCTTTTTTTTCGAAGGATTGTTAAATTTTGTCACATAATAAAAATAATTTGCCATAATAAAGACATATATTTTCAAAAATACTAGAAACAACTTCAAAATAAAAAAAAGTTTAATTAAACTACGAAGTCAAATATACACAGATAATATCAAACTGAGAACTTTTTTATGCTCTGGCTCCTGGGTTTAAAAAAATTTGCAAACTTCTATTTTAGCGCAGCCCGGTTCGGTACAGGGTAACCGCCAGTCGGACACTCTTGACTAGAACACACACATTTGTTTGGTTTTCTCTTTCTGGTTTTTCTTGAACATTTTGCTTGTATGCTTATTCCTGTTGCCGTGCTTGTTGTTGGTTGTGTAAGCAAATTGCCCAATTTTTCGTTGTACTGTGGGGCCACCAACAAGATGGTGGTCGGTGGGAGGCAGAGGGTGCTGGCTGTGGGACTGGGGCTATCAACGTATTATCTTGTCAAAGGAGTGCAGTTCGAAATTGTTATGGCAGTAAGAGAAACAGCCGCGGCAACAACAAAAGTTTCCCTTGTAATGGGGTGTTGGTGGTGGGTGGGTAGGTGGGTAGGTGGGTAGGTGGGTAGGTGGACGCCGTACTAGGGGGGGGTGGCAAGTAAAGTGTGTGGCAAGAATGCGCAAAAGTATCTCTGGCCGCTAGTTGGGCGCGCTCTAGACTAGAGCTGGGCTGTTGCTGGAAAGCAATAATCTAACATTTCAGCACATTTTACAGTTCACTGAATTAAATAAAGAAACTTTGAGCACACACACCCACACACATACATTATGAGTGTGCGTGTGTGTGTGTGTGTGACTACAAGTTCTCTCAAATGTATCCACAAACTCAAACGGGACAGTTAACAGAAGACAAGCCTGGGCCCGAGCTTCGGTTGTGCCTTCAACTGCGTCTTTGCCCCTAAAACCCTCGCCCTCTCCCCCTCCCGCTGTCGACCCTGGTAACTGCCAAGCAAAGCAATTTTTATGGAAAATGCTACGAAAATTCCACATTATGAGACTCTGAGCTGTGAGCTGTGAGCTGGGCACAAGGGCACACACACACACACACACACACATACAAAAAAATGCTGAGCTAACGATGTGTGATTTTTTTTTCTGTATGGTTTGGTTTTGGGGCAACAATTGGGCGCTGCTGCCTAGGGCGGGGTGTCGGGGTTTGGGTGTCGCGAACCCGGGCATAAAAAAATAATAATAAATGAAAGTGTTGGCGCTGGGCGCAACGTTGTCGCCGACCCCGCCCCCGCCGCCACCGCCGCCGACGAGGCTGCTGCTGCCACGTATAATAACATTCAAGTACGCCAAGTTTAATCTCTCAAAATGCTTATGCAAAAAAAAAAAAACGAGTAAAAAAGAGAAATAAAAAAGGGCAGCAGCAAGAAAAAATCAAGTAAGAACATTTTAGTCGGGTGAACGCGACGGTGCAATACTCTATTTAGAGTTGAACGAAAGCTGTGAATGGCCGCACGCAGTCAGTGACTCTAAGACCTTAAGCCGAAGGCAGTGCCTGTCAAACTGTGTCTAGAATTTATTGATATTTGCTATTTATGTGGGCGGGGCTGAGCGTGACCACAATAGTTCGAGCTATATAGAATGAGTATGTCCTCTTTTGACGATATGATTCCCTATAATAAATAATATCGATAAATATCGACCAAAGTAAGTCGTCCCGAAGCTTATACTTATTCAGCATAGCTCCTTTTCTTGCCATTGCCATCTAAAATTTACACATATTTTAACAGCGATCTTTAGAGAAGCTCATGACAAGTCTAGTGGGATCTAGTGGGAGCTATCGATTTATGCGCTTTGTTCACACCCTGGTGGGCGAAGAAATGATAACTCTTTGAGGCAAAAAAAAACAGCAGCATTGTTTTGAGGTTTCAAGTCTTTGTACACAACCAATAGACTGGCTTTCACCTTGTTAACAGTGTATAAATATATATATATATATGCACACATTATACTACAGCGAAATGTGAGGGTAATTTACGTTTAAAGCCTGCAAAATTATTCAAATTAAAATTGTAAGTATTCCAATGCGTTGGACTGTGTCAGCAGTTGTAGCAGCTTGTGGCAGCTGGGGCAGATGGGAGCTGAGCCATGCAGCTGGAGCTCGTGAGCTCTCTGGACGGCATTGCTAAATTAGCTGGGACACTTAATTTCTGTTGACGCGCACATTTTTCTATGGAAATTAACGCTAAATAATTTTTGGGGAATCATTTCTGTTGTTGCCCCAAGGAGCGTGGCAGACGGTAGAGGGTAGAGGGGGTTGGGGTAGGTGGGGCAGGGCGCGGTGGCTATGTGGCGGCAATTAGGCCCGGGGCGTTTGAATTAGTTTCGTGTTTTAATGAGTTTCATAACTTTTTGGTTCCGTTGTAAATTGTAAAAGCAGAAAATAAACGCACGCACAGCAAACACAGCGAATGAGCAAAATTTCGAGTTGAACCTATTTGTATATAGGTATATGTATATGCATATATATATATATAATATATATAAGCTTAGCCCAGTTGACACAACCAGCCAAATGGCATTGGAACTACAACAACAACAACCGCCGCTTTTAAGCCGTGAAATATGCAATGATTTATGGTAAGAAGTCAACAGTAGAGTCTCAGTTGTGGGGCACGTGCATGTTAATGACATTTTAAAAGTGTCTCCTACGGGGTTTTCATTTATTTATTCTTTTTTTTTCTCTCTTGCCATATCATGTGGTCATGTGGGGCTTCGCATTGGACTTCCGCTCTCCCACCCTACAATAGACACCGCTTTGTAATGTGATTCGCTTTGCATTTAGCATACTTTTTGGCGCAACATTTGTGCTTTGCATTAATTTCAGGTTTTGGGTGCATTTTTAAGGTTTTAATATGTGGGACATTTGTATACCCTGTATAACTAGTTCAGTCATGGGTATATCACTAATAAATTAATGCTTATTCATTTAAAATTTAAGTAAATTCCTGATAAGCATTAACAGTCGAGTTAGTTAGATGAAAATAAAAAAGGATATTAAATTAAATGAATCAAACAATCAATTATCTTGGATGATCAAGATCAAGATAATATTCGATCATAAGAAATAATATTCGGTGCTGCCAAACAATACAAATCGATGATAATCGATAAAAATCGATGTTTTAAATATAAAGCCGTTTTTCAGTGTTATGAATCTATAAAATCGCTAATTATAATCGATAAAAATCGATGAACATAAATATAACTTTATTCTCGTTGCAACTGGGCAATTAAAATCAAGATAATCATCGACAGAAATCAATGTAAATAAATTGTACCTAGTTCTTGGCGATACAAATCAACACAAATCGATTATGTTAATCGATACAACTCGATGCCGTTTCTCAGTGTTAACAATCTAAAAAATCACTTATTATAATCGATAAAATTCGATGTTAGTAAGTAGTAGTAACTACTCAATTAAAATCAAGATC